ATAAAGTCTGTAAACGATCTTTCATCTCGCGCGCAGGGGGAAGGAAGTATGTCTGTTTTTTCGAAGCATCGTGCGTTCTATCCCCCATTAATGGAATAAAGTTGGTGATCGCGCAAGAAGGATCCGAGGTATATCACCGGCTGTCTCTTCTACTTAAACGTTTCTAGGCGTTTCCTTGCTTGCTTTTTATAAAGTTTTTTGTCTAAATTTTTTGCTAACAAACTGATGTAGTGAAAGGCATACACTCAGCGAGCAGTTTCCTACGCGGTAAGCAAAACGTCCATAAACTCTTTGTCCTTAGCTACAGGATTGTCGTTATGACAACGCTACCTTGTTATCCAAGGGGCAGTACTCTAGGCCAATCAGAAAGCCTTATATATGAAACTCATTTAAAAAATAGTTGTATATACATATCTTCATATATATATATTTATCTGATTATTTTATTGTTGATGACTTGGATGCAATTCATGTGTTAAAATTAAATTATATAAGCCTTTTCATAGTTGAAGAATCGATTCCACTGCGCGTGCGATTTTATCCCGAATTTCTCACCTTCCTTTGTTTAATTAAGAACATAAGAAGGTTTAGACAAAAGAAGGTGAGAAATTCGGGATAAAATCGCATGCGCAGTGGAATCGATTCTTAAACTATGAAAAGGCTCATTATATCATATTATAATATTATTATTATTATTATAATATTATTATAATTTATCCCATCAGGCCATACCGTGACTTTCGAGTTCTCACGAGTCACGTGAACATATATGAACCAATAAGAATCATTGTTACTACTTACCTGGCGCTAAAGTAGACCTTCCCAGGCCATATCATGACTTGTGCCACCACGAGTTACGTGAATATACAGTCAATTCAAAAAATGTTGTCGTCGACCAACTCAAGCCTACGCAACTGGACCGAAAGGAACTCTGGGTAGTAATCATTGAAGCCGAGTTGACTCCATAATTTTATCTGACTAGTTATGCCTGGTTTACAGCACGAACCTTCATAGGCGAGCGGGAAGTGTTGAAGGAGAC